AACAAACAAAAATCAATTTCCACCCATGATACATGTATTATCATAATTCAAATTACATGACATATTGATCTGCGTTTCAAGACAAAAATATAGCCAAATGGTCAAAATCACATCATCACCAGGATATGCTGAAAAATATTTTCTGTATTTTTCTCAAAAATATGCATATTACATGTATGATAATACACATTGGACAACATAGTATGATAATTTTAATATTTTATTTTGATCATTGTCCTAATAGGCAATAAGTTTTCATAATTGGTTGTCTCATAGAAATACACACATACACATACACACATATACATGACCTGTAGGCACCGGTAATGTCTGCACACAACACTTCAAACAGATTCACAAGTCCATTATTCATAGATTTTTCTCATGACCATAGACGTCAGTCAGTCTACATCTTGCTGGCCCATCTAGCTTATCATAATCAAACAACTTGACTTTAAATGTTGCTATCACTGTGTAATTTATGTTGCCATGACATGTGTTTACACACAAACTTAAAATTGATAATAAAACAACTACTTTGATGATCATAAATTTATGTGATCAGTTAAACTGACACTTTCCACGATTTAAAGAACAGTGGAGGTTCCCACATGTATAGGACCTGAAAGTGTACAACAGTCTGGCCAGTTTATTATTGCATTGGGGGGTGGGGGTGGGGATGGGAGCTCTAGATTGACCTTTATACATCAAAGTGTTCACTTGTCCATCGTTCTTTGGTGTGCAGACCTCCAAATGCACTGACTGTATTTGCTCTATTATATGCTCTTCTTCAATAGCAGTGCATATAAACCAAATATTTTATTTGTTGTATACTGAATTATTAAAAGAATATGAGGTTATAGGATGCTGCAAAGTATGCACAAAGACAGTACAGCAGGAGTTTCGACTGACGCAAAGCGGAGGTCGATGCGTCCACGTACTGTCTGAGTGCATTATTTGCAGTATCCTCGTAATAACCTTATTATTATACATCTTTTCCTCCCAAGGATACATCATGGAAATGTCAAAATCCAAAAAGTTTAGAAAAGATTTAGCGAACTTCTTTGTGTGGACTCAGGTCAAACCTTGGTGGCAGCCATGTTTGTTTTTATTATTATAGGATGCTTACGCGCGTAATCCATATTTGGAATTCGCGTTTCCTAATATGGTAGGATGAAAATACCCAGTGCAATATCGCAAAATTACGACACGCTGTAACTTATGGCGTTACGATGACAGATGTATAATAATACATATTTAGACCGTAGAAACACCTCAGTAATTTACATATAAAGTGCATATGCTACTAATATTGCAAACACTGTACTGTAGTTTTTTTAGGCCACCCAACATACTGGCACACATGCAAGTTCAAGGAGTTTCAAAGCACTATGTGTTTGTTTGTATACATTGTACATGCAACTATTGCAGAAGAATTTCTTATTTGAAAATTAACAGCATTAAACCCTGTGGTTTGTTTATTTGATTGTTGCACTTTCCTCCCTTAACTGCAAAATTGTTTCATCTGATATGTTTATTTGCATTTGACATGCTGATGAAAAGTTGGGAAGGTCATGTTTTCTTTTTCTGTTACCACAGTAATATCACTTCCAGATGCTGGATTGATTTGACAGACATCCCAATTGTTACTGCTAAAATGATAGCCACTCAGAGAAGAAACCAATTTGGGAGTGACTATATATTAGGAAACACTTAAAGATATTTGTGGTTCCGAATCTAACCAATGACCAAGTAATCAAGATGGGTTTTTGATCTGAAGAATAAATCGTAACAGTTTCTTTGCCGAGAAATTTCCTGTTTACAAATTGTCCTCAGCTGGAAAGTCTCTATACTCCTACATGTATTTCATCATAGTATGGTGATACCTTTGTCTTAAAAAGTTATTCACTAATTTGTTACAATTGACAGTCTACATATAAATAGTTAGATCGGTGAATCCTCAACAAAGATAATAAATTATTAACTTTATTAACCTACAAGGGTCTGATACTGAGAGTTTTTTAATCAGGCCACAGTTACCTTAAAGTTGCGCCTGAGATCATTCATAATACTTTATTGGCGTCATGTGATTGGCTGTCATGTGATAGTCAGACGATGCATAACGCATATGTGAAGTTTGAAGTGATCTGCCCAGGCAAGTCCAAGATAGCCGCAAGGACAGCCGGATGGACAGGAACCTATGGTAAAAGCATTATAGAACTGACAAAATGGCCACTATCCACTAAAATGCAACCATAATTTTTTCGAAATTAACTTTTTTTACGTCAATATTCTTATATTGCCTTGGAGTATAATTTATTGGAAAATGAATAAATTCTGGTTATTTTCATTCATTAGTAGGCTTCTACTGTAAGTTGCCTTCTTGGCCTCTATAAGTATAACTATCAGACCCTAATTGGTCTCATGGTGGGAGAGGTTTTAATACTGTAGAATACTTTATTTTCGCTTGGAATTTATTTTCGCTATTTTCGCTGAAGGGATGATTCCGTGAAAATAAAATCCAGCGAATATACTTTTTTTCCTATACTTCACATTAAACTCATCAAAAATCATTGAAAATAAATTCCACACAAAACGCCCAAAAAGCCTTTTCAGTGAAAATTAATTCCAGCGAAAATAAAGTATTCCACAGTAATTAGGTATATTTGGAATGTTGACAGGGTCAAAGATTACCATCATGGTCT